AGGCCACAGCAGTGAGAGGCCCGCGTACCGCAAAAAAAAAACAAAACAAAAAACAAAAAAAAAACCCAGAGCACCCAGAGGAAAGAGTCACCGCATCCAAGCCCTCCTGCGGTGGCCGAGGGGTGCCCATGTCTGCCACGCGACCTGCTGCTCTGGGCATTGGGTGAGGAGCAGACCGGCCCACCCTTCCCCTTGGCCCCGCCTGTCTCCTGGGGCACAGGTGACCATGGGGAGAACTGAACCCCAGCCACGTGGCCCCCGTTACAGCACCCTGTGGTCCCAGCATGACCCTGAGCCCCTCTGAGATGGCCTCCATCACAGGGCCCCTAAGTCCTGCACTAGGGGAGGCGGAGCCCGGGAACCCCCGAAATGTCTCCCCTCCCTGTGCGGACAACAGCCAGGCTCACAGGCCGCCCGAGCTGCCTGCCCACACCCTGAAGACAGTTTCAGGCGGCCACCAAGGCCTGGGGCCGCTGTGGCTACTGTGGCCGCTTCACACATGAGGACACCAAGCCTCTAGCAAGCGAAGGGCCCTGCTGAGACCCAGACCCTCCCAGGACGAGGGTCTCCTCCCTGCCCCCCGGGGCTCTGGCCACCTGGCTGGGCTGCCCAGGGCCTTCCCCACCAGCTCTGGACACCACCCTGGGACAGGACGCAGGGTGGGCCGTCCCTCGAGGGAGCTCTCGTCCCCGCACACAGTGCCCATCGTCACAGGCCTTGTGGGGTCATGACTGGACCCCGACCCTGCTACAAGCCGGGCAGGGTTGGGCCACCACTGCTCTGTGCCCTGGGGGCCCACTAACCTCAGAACTAAAACACACACTGTCAAGTGACTCCCGACCGAGTCCCAGCCCTTGGGGCACGCTGGCCTTCACAGCTCCACCGGGGCCTCCCCACTGCCAGGACCCCCTTCGGCCCAGGTGGACCCCTGCCACCCCTGCCCTAGGTCACTCCATGGCAGTGCCCGGACACAGATGATCAGCACAGGGGCCAGGAGTCTCCACGCCCTGGTCTCCTGGACACGGGGGCCTACGTCTCAGCGCCAGGTGATCTCGCAGGAACTGCATGGAGGCCAGAGCCCGGGGCCGGGCCTGTCGGTTCCCCCTCCCGTGAGCTCCCCCGGGGGCACCCTTAACCTGCAGGGTGACACCAGCTGCTCCAACTGCTCCAGGAGACGCCGGGGGCCCGCCCACCGGAGGGCACAGCCGCGCAAAACCACAACGGTCCCATTGTGTGTCCTCCAGGAGGGGCCGGGGCTCAAGGGACAAGCCTTCCCCACTCCTACCCTCCGGTCTTGGAATGGCCTGACCTTGGGCCGTGGGCCTGCTGGGTGTTGTAGGTAAAGGGCTGACAGACAGAAGTAAAACAACAAAAGCGGGCACAAAGTGCCCTCTGTCCACCGTTGTCACTCAGCCCTGGTCCTCGGGGCACCCCCTCCACACCACGTGCTGGGCCTGCTTCTCTCTGTGGCCGCCCCTGGCCAAGCCTCCCCCACCCACACTTCATGGCCACTGGGATCTGAAATGCCGGCCTGATTTCAGTGCCCCCCTCCTGAGAAGGCTGGGGGAAAATCCAGAGGCCTCGCGTGGTGCCAGGCCCCACATGCATGACTCCCCCGGCCTCCGGGCCACCTGAGCCCCTCCGGGGCCCTGCAGAGCCAGCCCCGGTCACACCAACTCTGAGCCTTCATCCAGCCATCCCTCTGGCCCTCAGAAGGGCCTTCCTGATTGGGGCCGAGCCCTGCCTGCCTGTCTGCGAGTCTCCTGTGCACATGTTTGATGTCCGCACGCCAGACACAGCGCGAGCCCTGGACGGCAGGGCCGAGTCCTCAACTGGGTCTCAGCACAGAGCCACACCCGGGGCCTCAGAAAGTTCTGGTGAAGGAGGACAGGAAGGCGGGCAGGACTGCCCACGAGTCTCACTGGCGACGAGGACGAGGCCTGGAACAGAGGCCGGGAACCTGGACCTGCCGGGCCCCACGCCCCAGCCCCTTCTGCAGCCCCCAGGCCCCTCTGGGCGCCAGGCAGGCCAGGTGGGGCCAGGCACTGGTAAAGGACAGAGACGGCGCGTGGGCCGGTCTGCGAGATGCAGGTCATGTCCTCCAGATGCACCGTGGCTCGCGGCCAATCTGGGCACCATCACGCTGAGCCCCTGCCCAAGGGGTCCCGGCTCTTCCGCCAACATTCCGCATGGGATCCTTGGGGCAGCCGCCCAAGGGGTAAGTCAGGCGACTCTCGTGGGCAAAGGGTTGTTTTCACAAAGTGTCCTCTACAAGGGAGGGCATCCATCCGGGAGGGAAACCAGCGGACAGGAATTCTGCAGACACTGCACTGCCTCCCAGGTTCAGAAAGGAATGGCTTTGGGGGGAGGACGTTTTCGATGGCAGTAGAATTATAAACACGTTATGTATTCAAGCTGAACAAAGGCGCTTTGCTATCCCTGCTGAAATTTGTTTTTACAAAACTCCGGCCCCCCTACATTCTTCACCAGCCTGTATCTAATCACACCAGCCAAGCAAAACGTTCACCAGCAAGTCCTCTTCAAATGACATGGACGTGCTCCCCAGCTAGACCGTCTGGTGGGCGCAGGATGGATTTTTCCTCCTACCCACTGGTTTCCACCCATAAGCTCTCAAGGGCAGGAAGTCCCTCAGCTCCCTTAGTGCTCCCGTCAGCACTCCTGGTACCTGGAACCCAGCCCGGCCAGGGTCCTCCAGACAAAGTCTTGTCTTTAGGAAGATGCTGGAACCTGAGGTTCCAGGAAGCCAGGGGACACAGAGGCTGGTCTCCCCGCTCCCCGACACACGGGGCTACGGGGGTGGTGGTGGTGCTGCTGCTCTGTGTCGTCACGGTGACCTCAGCCCCTACGAGACCACAGATCTGTGGCAGCCACGCACAAGGCTAGCGTGGGCCTGCCATCCAGCCGTCCTGGAGAAGCCAGTACCTCCGTTCACCAAGAGACACCCTCGAGAATGTTCCCGACAGCATCCCTCTCAGTAGCCAGAAACGGGGAGACTCCACCTGCCCACGGCATAAACTTTGCGGCACATTCACGAGAATGCGGCCCAGCGGGAAGACACACTGCCACCAAACGCCACTGCATCGGCGCCCATCATGGGAGGGGTCGGCATGGCGGGCGGCCATCCACAGGGCACGGGGACCCTGCTGGGGGCTGGGGGCACATACCCGTGTGGAAGATCCAGCAGCACTGGCAATAGCACCTCTCGGCCGTGCTGCTAATGCAGGAGGCGCGTCGCCAAGCTCTCCCCACGAACCACCGCCCACCCCGGTCACCACCAAGGCCCACCCTGTGTGGGCAGGACAGCGGCCTCTGCGTGGCGGACCTGTTTCTCCTGCTGCTCTGGGACGGACGACCCGCCAGGTGACATGCAGCCCGCCTAACTCAGTGTCAGTGCTCCTCCCGGGACCGCGTGACGCGCCGACTCCAGTGACACCCGTCAGCTAAGGCGGTGGATCTGGGGCCGGGCCCTCAGAGACGGGGACCCCTCCCCCTCCCCCCACACGCCCCCAGGCTCAGCAGGGCCTCCCGGGACAGCTGGGAGACCCCAGGGGCTGCACTCACCCTTCCCGATCTGGATGAAGCCGAGTAGGATGATCAAGGCCAGCGCCAGGAGTTTGGCCGCGGCGAAGACGTCTTGGACGCGGGTGGCGGCCTTCACGCTGTAACAGTTGACGGCCGTGAGCAGTACTGTGGAGAAAGGGGCAGCGAGTGAGTCCCACGGAAACGCGGGCAGAGGGGCCGGCGGGGAGAACCCCAGCCCTGAGTTCACAGGCTGAGAGACAGCTGTGAGCCCAGGTGCCCCCCAGGCTGCCAAAAAGGCCTTTTTGTCCTAATGAATGAATTTCAACACCTCACCGCCACCTGAGTCCCTCCTGCAGGAGCCCTCGAGGACAGCGCTGTGCTCAGAGCAGGTTGAACGCAGAAACTGCCATCTCGGGGTGGGGGGGGTGCTCAGTCACCTTTCTGCTCCCACCTGACACTTTAGCACAAGTGTCAGGCCCTCCCACAGGCACCCAAACTTCTCAAGGTGGGAACCCTCTCTTCAGAGGGTCCTCGTAGGATCCCACAGGGGCACAGGGGGTGCAGCATCAGCCTGACAAGCCCGGGGGGGTGGTCCACGGGGGCTGAAGGAGATGCACAGCCCAGGCTCCCAGTGGTGAGAAGAGCAAACGAGCACGAACTCTGCGGCTGGTGTCACAGCAGATACTAAAGACCCAAACTCCATGCCAGTCACCACCACGGGGAGGGAGAGGAGACACGGCGGGGCGGGCAGCTAAGCCAGGCTCCCCAAATGCGCCGACACACGCAGGCCCTGCCTGGGACCCCAGGGAGACCCTCCAAGTCCTGAGCAGAGGTGGAGGCAGCACTTAGTGTTCAGGGACCTCGCCAGCAGCCACTCTGCAAACTCACCACAAGACAAAATTAGATTAAAACAAAGGCAACAAACCAACACTCAACACCCATGCCTTCCTACTCAGTGGTTCCTACCTCTCGGCCAAGTTGCACGTGGAAACACGCACGCCGTGAGGCCAGCGCTCCAGTGCCCACGCCACTGCTGACGCCAGCTACCCAGGGAGATGGCCAGGGCGCAAATGGGGCCTTTTATTCTCGGCAGGCTGGCGGTCGAACATTAACCAGCACAGCCTGGACCCAAGGGAAAGGCGTCTGTCCACCATGCCCCGCACACACCGGCTTTTCCCAAGGGCTGCGGTGGGTGAGAAAGTCTGGACCGGACTTCTGCTCCAGACAGAACCAAGCCCGGGCTGGCAGATGCCACGTGGCTTCCTCCCCCAGCTAAATCAATTATGTGTTACTTTTACAATGTGAGGGAAAGGCCACAAGGAAATAAATCCACGCTAATTAACTAGATGAGACCTGACAGTTCAGGTGTGAGAAAAACAGGAAATGGCCTCCTGAGCTCTGGTTAGGACCGGGGGCCCACACTCCACCCCACCCACGCTTAGCTCTTCCAGAAATTAACTGATACCCAAATACCACCCGCCCCATCACTTTCTCTTTGCTGCTCTAAGCCTGGCCGATGCAGCGGCTGACCAAGACTGTTTGCTACGCCCTCAGGAAGTTCAGGTTGAAAACTTTCAAAACCAGTTGCTTTTGGCTGCTACCCCTAAACTGAAACCCTCAGATGTTCCCAGACCAGATATGAAGGCAAAGAGCTGTCACAGATGGACCTGGCATAGCCCTCACTCGTGGGGACCCTGGCCGAGTCTGCACCTGTCAGAGGCTCGTGGTAAAATGAGCTGCCTCAGGGTGGTGGCGCTTACACGAGGCTGTGAGAACGGGGGGACAAAGTATCCGTGTCACAGCACTGAAGCCATCTCCAGCAGCAGGAGCTGAGCCCGGGCTCAGATGAGGGGGCCGACGTGTGCAAGGGACAAACAGGACCAGTGACCTTCGCCGTGTGGCTCTGGGGTGGACACACTCTCAGTTCGGGCCCTCGGGACCAATGCAGAGACAGCTGTCCCGTATTAAGTACATCAGCACTGCCATTCCCAGCACAGAAGAGGAAACAGAGGCTCAGAGAGGACCCCTGTACACGGTGCTAGGGGCAGACCCAGATCTCTGAGGCCCGTCTGATCTCCCACCGCCAGGTCGGGGGTGGGGGCGGGGGAGGAGGTTGAACAGCAGAATTCCCTTCTCCTGGGTATCCAGGCTGGTGTGACCTGCCACATGGCTGGGACCCAGGGTGAGGGGGCCTTGGAGGGCAACCCAGGTTCTTTCCCACCACTGGCCCCAGGGCGCCTGTGCACAGTAAGGCAGGGAGGGAGCTTTTCCGGGACAGTCGCACATTATGGGGAATGTGACAGCCCTGAGGCCTTCCCTTCCAGATGCGCCAAGAGGCTGACAGATTGCATCACACTCCTCAATTCATACCAGGCAGGAAGTGGGGAGAGCCGTGGCCAAGCCACACACGGGGAGGTGGCTCTTCCTGCGCCAGCCCTGCCCAGCTGCCCTCACTGTTACCGCTGCACGACTCGCCTGGTTTGACGTACCCCATTTGGGGTGTGCACCCCAAGGGGAGCAGGGGCATCTCTCCCCACCTCACAGATAAGGACCTGGAGGATCCAGGAAGGGGGTGTGGCTGGCCCAGAGCCCCAGCCCCCGGGCCATCCCCCTGCGGTGGTCACGGGGGCGGGACGGACCGAGGCCCAGGGCCCCTCCTCTACTGACCCAAGGCCCTCCCCTTCAGGAACACAGGGTGCCACCCTGCCTGTGCAGAGCGGAGCCCACCCGGCAGGTGTCCGAGCCCCTGTGGACAGAGGGTATTGTTCCTTGAGCTCAGCTCCGTGTCAGAGAGTGGACAGGCAAGGCCGGGCTAGCCGTCTGCAGTAGGGAGGGGCATGGGCTGGATCCCAGAACAAAGTGGACTTTGTAATATTCATTTCTTTTATAGAAAGAAAAACTGAAACATATGATGAAACTTTAACGTCCACTGACTTCAGCTGATGAGTAAACAAACGCTTTATTATCCTCCCTAGTGTCCTTTCTAAAAAACTCTGAAGTGAAATAGAATCTAAAGTAAATAAGGGGATTCACTAGGACCCGTGTCTCTTAGCCTTAAGGAAAGCAGCGCTGGGAGGCTGTCTGGGAGGCTGGATTTGCCCCTCGGCTACACTGGTTTTAGGCCCCGTCACCTGGACAAGGTGCCTGACTCTTCAGAGCCTCAGCTTCCACACCCGCAGGATGGAGGGGGGTGACAGGGACACGAGAGGCTCCGGGTGTCACACAGGGTCTGCTGCTGCCACTACCACTACTCCCGGCAGAACCCCCATCTGCGCTGCGTGGCAGGGGGAGGACAGTCTACCCCAGCGCACCCGCAGGCGGGCTGCTGGGTGAGGCCAGCACACTGGCAGGAGGGCACCCCGGCTGGCAGCCGGCCCCCTCGGGGTTCCCCGTGCCAGCACCCCCAGATAAGCACCCCGCAACAGCTGGGGCCGGGGAGATAGAGCCCAGCGGCCTCCGGAGAGGAGCAGCAGTGGGCTGTGTGCAGAAGGCGGGAGCAGGCGGGGCCGGGCGGCTGGTGCCACAGGCCAAGCGGGAAGCCCGCCCTTCAGGGCTGTGACACGGCCACCTAGCTGGCCTGCAGGGGCGCCCCAGCTCAACCTCACAAATGAGCCGGGGGCCCCGGGGCTGTGCTCGAGGGCCCGCCACCCTCTGCAAAGTCACCGTTCCAACCCACGAACTCGCACTCGCACCCTGGTCCACCCCCCCCACCCCAGGGGCTCCACCCGTACCCCATCCTCGTGACCGAGACAGCAGCAAGTGCTGCCCAGTGGGGGAGGGAGAACCCCTTGGCTGGCCTCCTGGGCTGCTCTCACCCCATGGCCCTGGGGACAGCTGGTCACACTTAGAGCCGGGCCATGAGCGCCAACTCCAGCTGCGGCCTGGACGACCAGGTGGCTTGAGTTCAGAGTTCTGTCTGCAGACCGCAGGGGCCACACGTGCCCAGGGGGCCACCCAGGCCGAGGACAGGGGCTGGCCCACGGGCTCGGGGATGCATGGCAGCTCCCCCATCTGTTACTTCTCAGGACCCCCCTTGGGTAGCGCCTCCGGGACCCTCCCAGACCCTGAGCACAGGGTGGCCGGCGGGGAGCTGCCACTGCTCCGCCTACCAGCGTACAAATGGGACGGGTGCCACCAGTCTCTGGGAGGGCGTTTATCTGAGCAGTTCCCAAAGGCTCCTGCCCAGCCTCGCCTGGCGTGACCTCTCACCCAGGCCTGACCGGTTATCTCACTCTCCAGGCCCCAGGGTCCACCTCCCAATGACAACTTTTCACACATAGGCTGCTGTCAGCTGTCAGCCACTGCGGGCCAGCCTCCCGGCCCCCTGGTACATGCTGCGCAGCCGGCTGGCTGTCTCACTCGCAAAGGAGAGCTTGAAATGCAAGGGGGCCTGTTTTCATTTTAAAACACCAATACAAAACAAAACAAAATACAAAAAACACACCCAAAACTTAGTTCCCCGAACCCGCACCCCCTGCAGTGGAAGCGCGGAGTCTTAACCACTGGACCACCAGGGAAGTCCCTCTGCTCAATATTCTGTAACAACCTAAATGGGAAAAAAATTTGAAAAAGAATAGATACGTGTATATGTATAACTGAATCACTTTGCTGCACACCTGAAACTAACACAACATTGTTAATCAACTATACTCGAAAATAAAATTAAAAAAATTTTAAGTTAAAAAAAGTTAAAGGGCTTCCCTGGTGGCGCAGTGCTTGAGAGTCCGCCTGCCGATGCAGGAGACGCGGGTTCGTGCCCCGTTTCGGGAGGATCCCACATGCCGCGGAGCGGCTGGGCCCGTGAGCCATGGCCGCTGAGCCTGCCCGTCCGGAGCCTGTGCTCCGCAAATGGGAGAGGCCACAACAGTGAGAGGCCCGCATAACGCAAGAAAAGAAAAAAAATAAAAAAAATAAAAAATAAAAAATAAAAAAAGTTAAAAAAAAACAAAAAAAACACACACCCAAATCCATTTCCCTCTCTGACAGAGGGTAACACCCTGATGGGATTTATCAGGCCCAGTGACCAGGGCTGCCCCTGGATTTTGTGTATGCCAGTAACAATAACCTTCAACAATCCTGGCAACGAGGGCGAAGTATGAGCACCTGCTGCACGCTCTCCATCATTCAGCGTCCTCAGCACTCCCGGGGGTCCCCTCACCCTCACC